CAGTGTTAAGTTAAATATTGTCCTGCAAGGGATCCTAGAATATTGTCTCCTAAAGCCAGAACCCCAAGAATTAAACTGACTATTCCAAAAGACTATAATTCTACCATGAAAGGAGGTGATTCTGCATTTGGGAGTTTCAGCATATTCTAAATATTGATTTAATGTGTCCTAGTAACTGTAATTCTGAAATAAGCAGATTAAACATTGCACATAATGACCATTTGTTTGCTTTTACCTAAGCATGAAAATTTCTTCAATATCCAATATTACAAATTCTCATTTCTCCATAGCATGGCTAATAGTAACTCACTAAAAAAAAAAAAAAAACCAGCTATATTCCTTATTCTCTTTCATTTTACACCCTCTACTTTTTCTCTTGAAAACAAACAGAACATTTCCTTCTATATCTAGATTAATAAAATAGTTATGAATACCAATAACTTTGGATTCACAATCACTTGTTAAGTTTGGAGTGACAATAAAGTGTATCTTTTTCCAGCAATGCCAGATATTTGAGAACTGAGAATTATTATTAACAACAAGATCTCCATTTACATTCTGAGAAGCTGAAGGTTTAATGTAGACCAGCACAAATGTCTGTTACTTGTTTTCAGAAGAGCTGAAGAACTGTTAATAAGGGATAGGGGTATAATCTCAAGGACAAATAATTTATAAGTTTTGCCCATTAGGGTGAGCTCTGCTACTTCAACCATACATTTATCAGCAAACAGCACTTTAAGTCAGAGCTGTCAATTGAAATAAAGATCCCAGGTAAGACACCTTCATATAGCACTTTTTTAAAAAAATTATAGTTGATTTATAATTGTTGTGTTAACTTCTGCTGTAGAGCAAAATGATTCAGTTATACACACACACACACACAAATACACATTCTTTTTTATACTCTTTTCCATTATGGTTTATCACAGGGTATTGAATATAGTGCTCTGTGCTATACAGTAAGACCTTGTTATTTATCCATTCTATATATACTAGTTTGCATCTAGCACAACTTTTAAAAATAAGACAAAAAGAACTACCTAGAAAAGTAAAAAACTTTTTTCCTTAGGTCAAATATGATTAAAACGAACAAGCAAGGCATTTCTTCAGACTTAATTCTCGGACATTTCAGCTGACACTTGTCCTGATGCGATGATTTTATACTGCAGTAAACTGATAGACTGGGTCTTCCTTAGTTTTTTAGCAAGATATTTAAAATAATGCTTTGAGCAAAAGTTGAAAACTCAGGCTCATTTAAAAAGGTATCAGACTCTTCCCAGCCTTTATTAACTTTGCACCATTCCGTCTCGTCACACTTCCAGGACAATCCCAATCTTCACATCCAAATACTTGCCTCATTTCAAAAGAAACTTCCCAAGTAAGTAATAAAAATTCCAAATTGCTATAACTGCTAATTTCTGTCTCTTAGTCTAAATAGGTAGTGACGATTTCTGAAGCAAAAGTAAGAAACATAAAGGAGGGCACCATCTAGTAAGGACTTGGCAGTTTGGGGCTAGGGTAGGGGATGGGAGGGAGAAGGAAGTTAGCCACAATAATGCCCATCAACTGCTCTATAGTTTCTAAAACATTAACACGTTATCCCTTTTGAGAGGTTGGCAAAAGCACTGACATTAGGACACTGTGTTTGACTGTACAGAAAGGGAACTATCCACAATCACGTGAAGGACGTAATAGCTGTACAGAAAAAGGAAATACTTTGGTACTTTGCCCTGAGAACTCAACAGACCCAAGTCGTGGAAAGGAAGAGGATTCCAAAGCTGGGAGCCCTTAAACCAACATTCCCCCCGCCCCCCTCCCCCCACCCCGCTCAAACTTAGAGGCAAATAGCACTGGATCCCTAGCTTATCACTTCCCTGAGGTACCTGGTAGAAAGAATTCATCATTTGATAATTAACTAGAGCTTCAACTACAGAGATTAAAAGTAACAGATTTAGCACATTTCTTTCACACCTACATCCTCTACGAGCTGGCTAACCGTCCCCTGCCCCGAAGTCTGGACAGATGTGAGGGTTAATACAGACTCTCCACGGTTTATTCTCTAGTGCCAGGCCCCTCTTTTTCCCTTTTATATGTACTGCTCTGCTTCTGTAAGGAGGCCCAAGTACTAGTAACTCTGAAAGAAAAAGCAGTAAGACCTATATGGATTTTTAAAACCGAAGTACAAATGACCCTGTAATTAACATTTTCTTTCCTGACATTCAAAGTGCATTAGACCATCTCCCTGCCACTCTATGTGACATTCAAACAGTTTAACTGCTTGTCAAAGAACCCTAATGCTGACACTAGATCAAATTAACCTTCGAACACTAAGAGATGTGCCATACTAACTCTGAAACGACTGTACTCTACAGATTAATTGGGACACTGCTTTCATCCAAGCTCCATAAAAGTGATTTCTTTTTCCCATAGGTACATTTCATTTTGGCACTTATCAATACCACCAGCCCCACCACACACAACCGTTTGTATCCACCCAGTTTCAGTATTACCTTCTTTTCTCTATCCCTCTTGTCCTCTTCACCTGTACTAGGCCCTACTTTCATTCCTTCTCCAAGTTTATTAGGATCAAAACAAATATTCTTTCCTAGGTAACTTTTTTTTTAATTTGGTCACACTGCGCAGCCATGCAGGATATTATTTCCCCAACCAGGGATCGAATCCAGGCCCCAGCAGTGACAGCGCAGAATCCTAACCACTGGACCGCCAGGGAATTCCCTCTAGATAATTTTTTTAAGAGAATTTTTTTTAATTAATTAATTTTATTTTTGGTTGTGTTGATTCTTCGTTGCTACGCACGGGCTTTCTCTAGTTGAGACGAGCGGTGACCACTCTTCGTTGCGGGCTTCTCATTGCGGTGGCTTCTCTTGTTGCGGAGCATGGGCTCTAGGCGCGAGGGCTTCAGTAATTGCGGCTCACTGGCTCTAGAACGCAGGCTCAGTAGTTGTGGTGCACGGGGCTTAGTTGCTCCGTGGCACGTGGGATCTTTCCGGATCAAGGCTCGAACCTGTGTCTCCTGCATTGGCAGGCGGATTCTTAACCACTGCGCCACCAGGATAGTTCCCCCCTCTAGGTAATTTTATATAGGGTAAACCAATAGTTTTTATCTAGAAAACACTACATATGTCACAATATATGAGCATATAAACTTGCAGGCACCTCTGACTTCAATGGTTTAACTCACTTAAATCAGGAGAACCACCCATTTCTCTGAGTAGCAAAATTGTCACAGAAAATGGTCCGAATCCCTATCAACTACCTCGTCGGAAAGCTGATGAAAGTTGGTGTGGGAGGCTGCAGCTTTGGCCTGCCCGGGCCCAGATCAGACCCAGCTGCCTTCCTCTACACACACTTCCCAGGGACACAGCCACTTCCTCCCTTTGGTGCCACTGCTTCCACCCGCTCATTCCTCAGGGAGCTCCTCCTTTCTGTTCTTATTGCCAAGTGGGATGCTCTCAGCTCCCCTTTCCTTGCTGCCCCCGCCAAAGACCATCAGCCGGGGCCTCTTATGGTCTAAACAGCTTTACTATCAACCATCACAAACAGCACAAGGTGTAAACCCTTGGGGAAGTCACAGAGAGTCCACACAATTATTTTAAGTGTGGTCCTTGGCACCGTCCTGTCTATTCTCCACCAGGCATCAGATAGATTATATTTAGAGGAGGAGGTAGTTGGTTAAGCTAAGTCGGTGATTCTAGACTTTCAGAACTCAAGGGTAAAAAAATTTTTTTAAACAAAAAGAAAGGGGAAAAAAGAAAAGGCCAAAAAAGAAACAGGCAAAGAATAACACAGGGTTAATTTTTTTTTTCTAGTAAAGGACAATAAAAATAAGCAAAACCTCACCATCAGCCAGAACCACAAATGAAACAGGTTTTTATTACACATACAAAAATCCATCCTTCAAACTATAATAAACTTATATTTTTAAAAATTTTTTATTTTTTTGTTTTTGGCTGTGCCGCACAGCTTGCGGGATCTTAGTTCCCTGACCAGCGATCAAACCCGCACCCTCCACAGTGAAAGCGCACTGTCCTAACTAACTACTGGACCTCCAGGGAACTCCCAATAAATTTATCTTGTTAACAACAACAACAACAAATCGTTATTCTTTTTTTCTTACTTTGCTGTGGAGATGTGAAAACAATTACATCAAGGACTTGGCACTTAGGAATAGTGATTTAACCCCGTTCCATATTCAGTCACGGTGAGGAGATAAAAGAACCTCTTTGCCTCAACTGTACAGTTTTTAAAATATTCAGTCCACAGCAACACCCCCTCCCAAAATACACGGAACAAATACTATGCCTTGAAAATAGAAGAAAGCTGGAGCTTGAACCTGAAATCCTCAGAGACTAGCAACTCTGTGTTAGTAATTGATCAAATACTGAGGAGAGAAAGGCCTCCTCACTTAGTCCCTGAACCACTGCTAGTCATGAAAAGAAAGAAATACTAGTTCAATACCACCAACAAATGACAAATTGGGTCAAAATGCTGGTTTAAAAATCTTTACTATGTAGTTTCAACTGTTCCAAAAACCCAAAATATATCTGGACTTACTTGGCCTTAATAAAGCACAGCTGGGCAGTAAGACTCATTCTTTATTAGTTAAAACTAGGCCAAAAAAGTGGCAGAAAGTCTGAAATTGTGCACATCCCCCGAAATTTGTTTCCACAAGCTAAAACTATTTAAGACTGAAATTTATAAAGCTAAAACCTTCTATTTTCCACAGTTAATATGTAAATAATGGCTCAAATGCCTTTCTTTTTGAGAAAACTCCTTAGCAAAATCTTAAGGTTCCTAAACCTTCAACAGGAGAATTTAATCCAAATAGAAATGTTGGTCATTTCTTCCCTTTACACTGCAGCAGTATTTTATGAGTCATTACTTGAAAGCAAGGAGGAAAAAAAACTAAGCAACAGATTTACATGGGAAATTACAATGTTATATTATAAACTTTTAATAAACAAAAGAATTTTACTTACGATGTTCCCTGCTGAGAATTACTGTGGGTTTTTGAAGATGCATCATATTGTTCTGTGAGCGAGGGAAAAATGATCAGAGGAGAACAATGACAAATTCATGAGACCGTTAGCTATAAATTCCTTCTTTTTTTGCTGTCCCCCCACTTTAACCTAAACACTCAGTATACTTAAATTATGTCAAACCAGAGTGCTATACACTGCTTATAAAATAACATTTATGTTACGTCTAGAGAGAGGGCTTGCACAGAACTGGAAAGCCCTAAAAAGAGCAAACACACTTTGAAAGCGCCACCTGGCATGCCGACCACACTGCCATGGGCAGGAGACTCTCCTTGCTGTCAGCTGGCGGGGCTCCCTTGTGGAAGCACTAGGATGGGGCTGCAGTCACCCTCACCTGGTTTCACGTCACATATCTATCCGTGATTTGCTAGCACTCTCTTTTATAGACTCTGTCTTTGGCCCACTGTGCTCCCACCCATCCCCCCACTATTCAACAGCCCCCATTCGTTTATTCAACTGCTATTTACCAACTGCCTATTAGACACCAAGATGTTCAAGGCATCTGACCCCGTCCTCGATGAGCGTACAGCTGACTGAGGGACATCAAACAGGCACGTGTTATCTACAACCCTAGGCAATGCAAAATCAGCACGAAAATCAATCATCTAAATGAACTGTCCCAGGAATCTACAGATTGGTCACTCTGTTGGTCATGACGAAAGAAGGCAAATTAGAAAAGAAACAAAATTAATTGTGTCACAAAGGATAGGTGAGATTTTGACAGAATGACTGCTGGCAAGAGGCAGATGAGGGTGGGGAAGGCCTTCAGGCAGAAGTGACAGTGAGCGAAGGTCGAACATGGGAGGAGTTGAAATGGTACAGATTATGAGAAGGGAAGGCTGGGGTGCAGAGTGTGTGGTGGGCAGCATGGGGGGAGCAGGGAAGTCAGATTTTAGAGGGCTCTGAGTGCCACAACAGGATGTTAAAACTTCAGTTGTCAGGGAATGAGACATCTCCAAAGCACGATGCAGCTATTCCTCAGAAAGATTAACCTGCGGGTGCTACCTGATGTAACCTAGAAAGGAATGGGAAATGTTAAGTGTGGAGGCTGCAGACCAGCTGGGAGGCTGTGTTTGTCTAGGCCTGAGGTAATACGGACCTGAAGCAGAAGGGGAATGGAAATACAGGTGCCTTTCAGACAGGGGTGAGGAGAGTGACCACTAATGTCATGTGGAGGCCCTTGAATATTTGCAATTAAACGCTTTATCCTCATGGTGGCAGCAGCTCTTATATGATATTTTTAAATTGCTTGCCCTTCTGGCTAGCAAGCTAGGGCTGGCACTACAAATTAGAGGGGCTAAAGTACACTCACATGTACTCCTACACAGTCATCTTGACCCGGTCCTAAGCTCAACGAGGCTCTGGTAATCCTTAGGCAGCCGTGTTTTTTGCACATGCGAACATAAATACTGGGACATACAAGTAAAATCCCTATACTTCATTCTCTACAGACTGTCAGCTGGCGGGGCTCCCTTGTGGAAGCACTAGGATGGGGCTGCAGTCACCCTCACCTGGTTTCACGTCACATATCTATTCGTGATTTGCTAGCACTCTCTTTTATAGACTCTGTCCTTGGCCCACTGTGCTCCCACCCATCCCCCCACTATTCAACAGCCCCCATTCATTTATTCAAAAAACCACAATTTTTCAAGAAATTTGAATTATCTTGCTGGGCATACTTTGAGAAATATATGTCACACTCCACTTTTCTGAAAGCTTTATCTGCACACACTCCATTCCTTCTTCATCCAACATACAACCAGACCCCTCCAGGATCCAACTAGGCCCCCCAAAGGCCACATTCTCACAGAGGTAAAAAGGGTTTCCAGCAGCAGCATAAAAGACCCCAAGGTAAGCATCTGCTGAGCCAAGACCTACAGGGGACCTGCCAGTGTCTGAAAACTTCTCATCAGGGCAAGGAGGAATCAGCCTACACTATTCCACAGGCCTGGAGGGCCACCACCCCTGGCGAAGAAAGTGCTTACCAGCTCATGTTCAACTATATTTTGCTAAAAGGAGAAATCAGACAGTTTAAAGGATTACAGGGTCTTTCTAAACCAGGAGGTAGCAATCATGCAAGCTGTAAGTAATTCAGTGGAAGGCATATAATCTGCATGACTGGCAGCCCTAGCAAATTTGGGGGTGGGGTGAGGGGCAAGAGGTAAAGGAACGCACAGCAATCCTGCCCACAGCTGAGCTGGTGACCCACCTGCAGACTTATGCCACTTCACCCGTTATCTATCTTTGGATAGGCTGCCAAGATGTTGAGAAAAAAAGATTTCCCGGTCTCCCCAATACTGTGCAAGATGATCAGGTTTATCTCTCTGCATTTGGGGGAAATTTATTTACTTTTATTATTATTATTTATTTTTGGCCACATCACACGGCATACGGGATCTTCATTCCCTGACCAGGGATCGAACATGTGCCTCCTGCAGTGGAAGCACGGAGTCTTAACCATTGGACTGCCAGGGAAGTCTCTGGGGGAAATTAGTTAGGAGTTATTTGCAAAGTCTTATTCAGTACTTCTAGAGCAGGGGGCAGCAAACATTTTCTGTAAAGGTCTGATAGTAAATATTTTAGACTTTGCATGCCACACCTTGTGGCATAATAATAAATGAATGAGCACGGCTGTGTCCTAATAAAACCTTCTTTACAAAAACTAGCTGTACAACAGATTTGTCTCTCAGGCTATAGTGTGCCTATCCCTGTTCTAGAGGAAGATTATTTCATTTCTTGTTTTTCTCATCTTTTTTACTCTCCTCATATCCTTGCAATTTAAACAACAGGATAATCAAGGGAAAAACACAAGTGAGGAAAAAGACTAAGGTGGAGATATTTCAAGAAGAGTCACCTCTATGGAATATCTATGAGCAATCTTCTCCCAACACATATATGCACACCACGCACCCTACTTTGGTCTCCCTATCCTTTGAAGACTAACACTTCGTAACTTGGGCACTCACCATATGTTGATGAACTAAATGACTGCAAATACACCAGTCATTTTTGTAAGGCCTGAAATGCCTTGCATGTAGTTGGGACACAAAGAATTTAATGAACCGAGAGGTTACTGATAAAGAGAAAGAAAGGCTGGATCCAGTTAACTTTCTTCTGTTTCCCACTGAATTCTCAAGTATTTACAATCCATTAAAAGGAACCAAAAAAAGAATTACATGACAAATACATATAGAAGGTCTAGAGAAACTATGTGCTCTCTTCCTTATAAAAATTTCTTGGTTTTGTTTAAAATAAATACAAGAAACACACAAAATACCCCAATCTATTCTTATATACAATTCCTGGGTAACAGTGCATTTAGAGTCACTCTCAAGATATTTATCATATGTGAGGTAATACCAAATTATATTTTATTTGTTAGGTACTTTACTAAGACATCTTCGTTAACTCTTTGCAATAATCTGAAACTCCACCTAAAGAACAGCTTTATGGTTGCCCTTCCTTCCTATTCTTTAACCGTAGGAAGGCTTCATCTCTGCTGGAGCATTTTTCATTAATGTTTTCTACATTAAAACAGTAAAAACATGCTTTGTTCTCCAATGCAATAATCAGTTCCACATATTTACTTACTTTGGTTTAGGGTTGCAGAACTGATATGCTGAGAATCCTAGAAAGAAAAATAAAAATCTCTAGTTAATAAAATATTAAGGTTTATAAATCCAAGGTTGCATCACTGTTAAATCTGATAAATATTGATACATCTAATTTTTAATAAAATAGGTTGTATTGCTTCTGTTGTTTCCTAAAGTTTATTCTTCCTTTGGTGTCAAGGATTTTCAACACAAAGTATAATGTTTTACCTTAAAATCAATAATAATAAATTACATTTTTTGAGAAAAAAACTATCATTAGAAAATATGTAAAGTATCTAACATGGTAAATTCTGGTTTGGGTAGATAAAATCTCAATGACATCATGGAAAAGAAGAGTGATAATATATTAACAATGTGCATGTGTAACAGGCTGGACTGAACACAGATCTGAAGGTGATATTTCTATATTCTGAATGTTATCCAAAAGTAGAAAAGGCGAGGGGACAGTGTTGTTAATATACTGTTCACAAATACTTAAACAGAAATGTGCAAGTAGGCAGTTCACCTTGCTATTAAAACCATCACGAATGCAGCTGATTGCATTAAACTTTAAGAAAATGTAGGAGGTATGACAAGTGTAAATGTGTATCTGTAACGTATCTAAGTCCTGAACTAGGAAGCAGACACCCTACCTCACTTAATTCTCCTGTACCTCCATGTCCCTCTTCTAAGGTAAAGAACCTCAAAAATGAATTTATTGTAAAGTCCTGAATACTTTCATAAGCTACAAAACCCTATACAAATGTAAGATGTTCTTACTGACATAATTGGAGAGTGAAGTATTTGAAAGCATTAGGAAGTACTTTAGTAGCTAAATTAATTGCAATATTAACCTAATCTCTAAAGAGTTCAACAAATACTACTTGATTAATCTGGCACACAGTGATACTTCACACTTGTCACTGGTGTGGATGCAGTGCCTGCTAGACTTCTAAGGAATTACCTTTGCAGGAAAAGGAAATTTGGAGGGCTCAGCTGTACTAGGCGTGTGTATTGCTGTCAAAGGTGGAGGCCATGAATGGGTCATTTCCTGGAAAGAGATTTGGAACGGGAAGAAAAGGTAAATTATAAATAGAACATTTATTGCTATTTAAGTTAACTTTTTAAACTGAATGCAGAGTGGAGTGATGGTAAATGAAAAGTGAAATCTTAAAAGTTATTTCATTTACTTTTTAAAAAAGCTCCTACTTGGTGGGCTATGTTCAAAAGCTGAAGCTCTCCAACAAACAGAACTGAAAAGAAATCAGTTCGAAGAAGAAAAACAAGAGCATGGAACAGGAATGGTCTTAACACTCTGAGCAGCATGAAGCATAAAAACGGTAGTAGGTATTACCAGAGCTTGTGCAACTATGAAAACTCAGTCCTGTCTCAATGCTTTCTTTCTCTCTCAGCTTCTTTATTGCATTTCCTGGAATTATTTAAGTTCAAAGGAAGAAGAACTTTCCTGTTTGACTTAAGCAAACAAGTAATTCAGGTCACTTGTTCCACTTGGGAGAGTTTTAATGGATTTGACCCTTCCCTGATACACATTATTAGTACATAAGAACTTTTGCAGAGAAGGCCTTAGAAAGTGACCATCCCTTTTCATTAACAGAAGTTTCATGGAAGCAAGATTTCTATATCTTCCCAATTAATATATTTATCTTGACATGAGTTCTTTTTTCTAAGCACATTCACTTGCTGAAAAACAAAATGTCATATTAAAGGTGTCTAATCGCAAATATGCACACGCACACACACTTTGTTGAAGAGCTAAAATGGAACTGGAGATTAACGTCAGCCCCTTCCTTTTACAGCTGAGAAAAACAAGGTCTAAAATGACAGGATCAGGTCCCCCAGGAAGCCAATGGCTGAAAGCACAGGGAATGGCCCCTTTGCGTTGGAGTCTGAGAGAAAGAAGTCCATCCCCACGTGTGTCAGACCTGCCAGGCAAACTGGCTTAAGATTGACAAGCAACCCTCCACCAGCACACTGGGGACCCCAGATAACCCTATGTTACCTCACCTGTACAACAGTGCTTTTTTTTTTTAACATCTTTATTGGAGTACAATTGCTTTACAATGGTGTGTTAGTTTCTGCTTTATAACAAAGTGAATCACTTATACATATACATATATCCCCATATCTCTTCCGTCTTGCGTCTCCCTCCCTCCCACCCTCCCTATCCCACCTCTGGAGGTAGTCACAAAGCACCGAGCTGATATCCCTGTGCTATGCAGCTGCTTCCCACTAGCTATCTATTTTACATTACACACTGTGCTTTTCCAAGTGCTGACCAACCTCTCCATCACCACAGAAATGCCATCTGATCCTTGCAACAACTGGAGATGGAGCTGGGCAAGCATCCCCATTCCCCACCTCTGCGCACATCTTCCCTGCCCTTCCCCACAGCCACCCTCTGGGTTGCTAGAACCTCAGAACAGACAGAAATGACCTGGCACAGTGACAAGCAAAGTAACCGATGCTGGCTCGAGTAATTTTTGTTAAAGGTGATATCATGCCCTTGCTCACTTGACTAACCATCTTTTGTTCAGTACAAAAGAGGAATTCTATACTAAAGTATAATGGAAAGAGTAGCAGCTCTGGAGCCAGGGACCCAGATTGGATCTTAACTCTGACCCGCTGGTCAGGTACGCCTGAGGAGTTTGAGCTCTCTGAGCCTTAGTTCTCAGGAAGAGGTGGATGAAGACCACTTATTTTTCAGAGCATAAAGTGCTGGAATACACGGTCAGAGAAAGCACTTAAAAAATTAAAAGCCTAGTTTTTAAAGAATTTTAATACTGCACCAAAGAGTTTCCTGTTGTTTTATTTATTTGACTATACTCTAAGGTATGGGACCATGAGAACATTATGATGTAAAAACTTGTAGTAATTGCAAAGGTGTCTGAAAGTATCATCCTTCTATCTTCCAAGAATTTCTTTATAGAATCCCAATGGTGTCTATGACTTTTAGTCACCAATGATTCCCAGGAAATATCTATTGTACTCTCAATGCCTAAGGCTGCCCCGGCTATTAAATTAGGCAGTTGGAAAGTGCATAAACTCTTTCAGGCCTTAAGTGGTTTGCTGATAGTGTGAAAGAATTTATATACTTCCCTAAATGCTCAGCTTACTAGGGGAAGTTAGGCCTTATGAGAATTGGGGCCATAAGGAGAGGAGGGTGCCCAGAATTGCAGGGCCCTGAATTCACTCCCTACTTTAACAATGACTTATCACGTGAATGGGGGTAAATCACTTAGCACCTGCTTCACTCCTGGCCTTCCAGGTGCCACAGCTGCTATCTCCTCCCCACTCTCCACCCTGCTCATTTTGCTCTAGACACTCTGTCTAGTTATCGCTGTTTTTCTAATACACCAACCCGTTTCCACCTCGAGGCTTCTGCACTCTTTCCTCTGCCTTTTCCTCCAATCACTTGCCTGCTATATGACTCACAGTGCTTATCAACAACTGACATTTTATTATATATTCATCTTCCCCACTATGGTCTCCACAAGAGGAAGGACTCTTATTCACACGGCACCCCAGTGCCTAGAAAAGTATATGCACCTTCACAGGTATTTGCTGAATAAATGAACATTCCAGTGACACTGGTACAACGAGTGGTACAATGCTACCACTCGTTGTACCAGTGTCACTGGAATGTTGCACTGAGATAATGTCTACAAGCACTGCATTAACTGCCCCAAAAGGCTGTCCAGGCTGTAGAAAACCTGAGCCGTTTCCATACACCCACTGAGGGCACCATCCCCATCTGGACCCTTGTGCATGACCAATTTCCTGGTTGCTGGTAGTGTTGCCTGCTACCTTCTTACCCTGCCAGTCTGCACAAGTCACAGGCCACCAATGCCACTTCAGTAAAACACTGCGACTCTTAACATTTCCACCAGAGAACCAAACACTATCGTCTATAATTGATTTTCTCCTTTAGGGAACTATTTACTGCTTCTATTGCCCATCAGAAAAATCTGTGTTAGGATTCCTGGCAATCTTCATAAATTACTGGTAGGAGATAAGAACAGAAACCACGAGGCAGAGGGAAGTATCTGGATCTACATCAGAGAGTGAGAGCTGGATTTGACCCTAGAGTCATCTACTATCTACCAGCCCAGGGCCTTCATTTTACCAGTGAGGAAACTGAAGTCCAGGGAGTACAAGTGACTTAACTGAGGCCCCAAAAGAGAAGAGAAGGGGACAGATTCTAAGTCTCCACAAAGCAGAGACCCATGCCCCTCTTCAGTCCAGGACATCCTGCGATTTACTCTCTCTAAGACTTCCAAATGAAAACACTCACCTGTGGCTCGTATTAACCATTGACTTTCAAGCATTTCCAGGTAAGCAAGAACTCATTAAAGTGATGTTGGCTGAGAGGGGAGGGAGGATGGACGAGTTTATTAAATTAAAAATGCTTGCCTGATGTTCTAATACTATCACCTTACATAAAGGACTCAACAAGTCATATATTAACACACATCAAAACGTTAACAGAAGCATTTGACACATGCAGGAGACAACTAATCTACATTGTTGCATTTACTTTTGAAATAACCATGGAACAAATCACACACAATTTCAGAGAAAATGCTAAGGCTATTATTTCATAACTAAGTCGTTTGTTACTTTTATGACTCATCTTACCAAAGAATTTCAGAAATACCAGAGGGAGAGGATAAAACAAAAGCTTGATCAAGATATCTTATTATTAATCTTACTTACTGGTTAGCAAAAATTTCTCATTTTCAGCAATACAAAGTATGTTTCCTTAGAGGTATTTCTTAGAAAACTCTAACTACAAAAGTAGGATACCAAAGATAGTAAGACAAAAATAATGGAACTGTTTTCCAAACATCTGGCTAGATACCACCTTTGTCAAAAATTGCACAAATGAGAAGGTAACCAATATACTTAATTACTGGTTTCAGCACCACCTCACTTAATACTTTGCAATGAAAACTTAAAGGAAAAAAATTGGGTAAGCATATTTTGAGGAAAAAGTGTGTAGTGGGGATAAAAATTAATAGGTACATGTGTCATGTCTCTCCTACTTCCAAAAAAAAACCAGAAAACAAAAATCAGAAACCTTATAGCAAAAGATAAAGTAAGAGTATCATTAAAAGTGACATGGAAGAAAATTAAGAGCCACAGAGGAGGAATGAGAAATAAACAAAACTCTCAGTCATTACAATTACTGTATTTGAGCATTAAATTTAGCTCTAGATTTCCTGGAAGTTAAAGCCAAAATGGGACACATAACAGTTTACATAATTCTTCTCTGATAAAAAGAAAGCAAGCCGGTTCATCAGGAGAATTTATTTATTTTCCTGGAACTGAATTCTAAAAGGAATCTGTCATCCTTGTGCAAGGAAAACTGAACAAATGGATAATGGATTCAATGATGTATTTGTAGAAGCAGCACAAATGTTCCTGGCATGGTCTCAATCAACAAGAGCAAAAAATAACCCTTTCAAGGTAGGTGTAAATATGTCCATTTACTTTCTACTATTTTTCTTTTTATCCCTTTAAAAATTCATGGTCTCACTGACGATAAGGCCAAACATATAAAGTGTCACCTATAAAACACCAAGAGGTGAAAACCAAGCACTACTTAACCCCTGGTGCCCCCTGCTGCAGCAACACAGGGCATCTACTCTCTGGGAGGTGAGCAATTCTCCAGGGTCTCTACAGACAGCCAGAAAAGCTTAAGGGAGATGTCGTAAGACTCTGGTCCAAATGCCTCGCAGTTTGTAGACTTCATTTCAATTAAAATCTGTCAGATAGTTCAATAATGTCCTAAGACTCCCTTTGTTATTATTCTGGTTTATTTTGCTTTGGGAGGTATGAGGGGAGAAACTGTTTAAAGGAGTTCAGAATGGCAACTGTTCATTGAAGTCAAAGAAAATGAATATATGTCTGCCTACTTAAGTATTTCTTCAAGCGAGAAATAATAACAATAAGCTCACCTTCAGAATCTCTTCAACACAATGGACTTCACTGGAGTAGGTCTGCTGAACAGGAAAAGCAAGAAAAAGATTAGCACACAAACAAAAAACAACTAGAATGCTGGTATTAATTAATACAGCAACACTCTTGTAAGTAGAATCACCTCAGGGCCCACCTCTTACGAGCTAAATAGGAGAAACTTCACCTTCTGGATGAAATAAAACCAGAGAGATTAACCTGACCTAATCGTGCAGGAAAGGTTTCTGCTGGAGACAATGACAGACGAATTATGACCCTTAGGTCAAAAGCTTCTGGTGGAAAATATGTATATTAAAGAAAATTAGTACATTAGTAAATCTAGGGGAATAACAGATATAACAAAAGTGAAGGTGGTGTTAGTTTGCTGCTTTATAGCAACATCTGTCCAGTGAGCCAAGTTACGTGAACATGAAGATGGCAATCACTCTGAACATCTTACTGAGCCCACAGGAAGGAGGCCAGCATCCTATCAAGGATAGATTTTATGGTAATATTATGGTAATATTCTAAAATATTAAAAATTTTACCTGCCAAAAATTCATTTTAAATTCTAGCCCTACTTGAAGTCAGCATTTCCATCTTATGCGCGCGCACGCGCGCGCACAGACACACACACACACACACAAAATAGTTCTCCAGAGACAGACCCTAGGGAGAGAGGAGATTACCTAGGGTCTTAAAGGAAAGATCACCTTGCTTATCCCCAGCTAAACAAATGACAGCTGCTGTTGTTAGTATCACAACCATAGTTTCTAGGAAATGTCATTTTACAGTCTTTACATTTTTAAGTACAAAGAAAATGGAAAAGTAAAATCTTTTTTTAAAAAAATCACTTTTCCTTAACTAGAGATATGGAACAAATCCCCTGACTTCACAATTTTTAATGGAATATCAGCTTTCGCTGTGTGTCAATTCATGAGCCAAGTGCCCTGGGCAACTCCTGTACAACACACACCCCTCCCATTACTGCCCCTGCTGTGAAGAAAGCACTGTTCTTCCCAGTCAGTTGGTCCAATACTTGCCTCACAGCCAGAGTGTAGATGGAAGAGGGTTCTTTTCAGGGCTCTCATCTCTAACTTGAGTGTAATTTAATACAGCATTGGTTGTTAATTCCTGATCTAGGGTTTATTAATCCACCATTTCCCTCATTCCAGTTTCTTTAAGGAAAAAGGAAAAGAGCATACAGCATTCACACTCTCCTGGAATTGAATCTAATGGACACGACAAAATTCAGATGCAATTTGACCTGCCTAGGTCTGGTTTTAAAACATGTAAATTTCATGGAGATGATTTTATTGAAATGTTTGCAGTTTGCTATTTTTGAGTTATGGTCTGGAAGTTAGGAGGTATAACCAAAGAATCAAGGGTATCCCCTTTCTCTGCTGGCTCTACTGGACCTGCCTTTATGCATTATGCATGTCAACAACAGGACCTGCTTACCCAATTTTTGTTTTTCAAGACTATTAAAGAATGCCTAAAAACTGGACCAAATATTATAGCACAAATGTCAGAAACAATGAATGCTGTTTTGACCTGCGGGTAAAATGTAATTATATCCTACGGTTTTAATCTTTCACACGCATCATTAGGAACAACGACAATTAGGAGTTGAAAGTTAATCAACAGAACAGAGCATATGACTCCTGACTCTGGTTAAATAGTCCCCTCATCCTATCTGCTGCTGGAATGAGAATGAGAATCCAGTTAAAATATCTGGCAGTCATGGGGGGGCGGGGTTAGGGGAGGGATGGAGTGGGATGCTGGGATTGGAAGATGTAATAAGCTTTGATATACAGAATGGATAAACAACAAGGTCCTACTGTATAGCACAGAGACCTATATTCAATATCCATAAGGGAAAAGAATATTTTAAAAAAGAATGTATATGTATGTACAACTGAATCACTTTGCTGTACAGCAGAATTAACACAACAGTGTAAATCAGCTATGCTTCAATTAAAAAAATTTTTGAGGGACTTCCCTGGTGGCGCAGTGGTTAAGAATCCGCCTGCCACTGCAGGGGACATAGGTTCGACCCCTGGTCCAGGAGGATCCCACATGCTGCGGAGCAACTGAGCCTACAAGCCACAACTACTGAGGCTGCGTGCCACAACTACTGAGGCCTGCGCGCCTAGAGCCTGCGCTCCGCAACGGGAGAGGCACCGCAATGAGAAGCCCGAGCACCGCAACGAAGAGTAGCCCCCGCTCGCTGCAACTAGAGAAAGCCCGTGCGCAGCAACTAGAGAAAGCCCGCGCGCAGCAACGAAGGCCCAATGCAGCCAAAAAAAAAAAAAATACGGCAATCAACGAAACAGTGAGGCACAGTTGAAATGAGGGCAAAAAAAGATTTGCCCACTGCTTCCAAAAGAATGGAGTCAGGAACCTACAACTTCAGGACATTCAAAGACTTTCTGATCTTCATTACTACTCAAGCCATCAACCCTTAGCCAAGACGTTTTATGTCACTAAAAGATTCATTTTTTTCCCTAAAATTTTATTACATGAGATGAACCAGGACTGAAGAAATTTTTTCCAAAGATTATTGTTTATTGGTATCAGGGTAAGATAAATATTGCTCAACAGTCACCATTTAACCCGTTTAAATTTCTAACTAAAGTCTAAGGCTCAAGCATTAATTGGTTAATGTACTGTGAATTTTCTTATCAGGTCCATTATGAAAGTGGGGGTATTTCAAAGGGGTGCCAGAATTCCATTCCAAATACATGAGGATATATCATATGTAAAGATCTCCATGCAGCACTGTTTATAATGGCAAATAACTGGAAATGATCATAAAATAACATAAACACGTGTACTTGCATGGAAAGATGCTCAAGGTATTTTCAACTTTTTCTTTGGAAAGAACTTCACACTTACAGAAAAATAATTAAAACAGTAAAAGAAATTCCTACAAACCCTTCACTCAGATTCCCCAAATGCTGGCATTCTACCACAGTTTGCTTTCTATTTTTCTCTCCCTGCCCTCCACCCACACATCTACACTGAGCCATTCAAGAGTAAGTTAGAGAGTTAGAGTTAATGCCCTTTTACCTCTAAATACTTCTGTGTGTACCAAGGTATGCCTTACAGCTTTATTTAACGGCGGGGGGGGGGGGGTGCCCTTCCCTGGTGGCGCAGTGGTTGAGAGTCCACCTGCCGATGCAGGGGACGAGGGTTTGTGCCCCGGTCCGGGAAGATCCCACGTGCCACGGAGCGGCTGGGCCCGTGAGCCATGGCCACTGAGCCTGCGCATCCAGAGCCTGTGCTCCGCAACGGGAGAGGCCACAACCGTGAGAGGCTCGCGTACCAAAAAAAAAAAAAAGGGTCGGGGTGCGGGGGGAGGTTTACCAGATCGTCTGTATAGTATGAGCCTATTTTATGTTCCATCTACCCAAGATTCATATCCCCACTCTTCCCTGACCCAAATTAGAGACTCAAACTAGAGTACAGTAGGTATCTCAGCTGTTTGCAGAGGAAGATCCATAAGGACCGGCTGCCTCGTTTTAAAAAGTACAACTTGGCACCTCCAAGTCTGCCACTGGAAGGAGACTTTCCAAAAAGGGAGGGGCAGTTCAACAAACCATTATGGCTTAATCCCCTTCCTTAAAATCCACTTTCCTCACAGGGTCCCCAGCTAAGTAATGCCACCCCTACTCAGAGAAGCCAGGCTCTCCCTTCAACACTGTGGCCAAGGAGTAAATAATCAGCCTCTCTGAAGCTCAGCCAAGTTAAGGCTGAAGATCTTTAGGTAAGACTTCTTCAAAGAACAAGGGATGATTAAAAAGCAGCAGCAAAAACAATCTGTGCTAACTGCATGAATGCAGAAGCTCTAGTTTGCAGGTCCTTCCCTGTCTAGCGCACCTTCAGGGTCAGAGGCACTGACTTTAGACACTCACAACCACAAATCACACTGTTGTCTCCCATCTTCAACATCTAGGTTCCTAGAGGAGAGCAGCTCGGCTACCTCACACATACGGTATCCTGTATATACACGGACCTCCCAGCGGAGCCCTCACTTCCCCATGGGGTATGGCCTTAACACAGGAACCATAATCCTATTCAATAATAATAAAAAAAAATAGTAGCTACTTATTGAATACATATTGTACTTGATACTGCATTAAATTCTCACACATTTCCTCCGTTTGATACCATCTATTGTAAAATGCACCATCATTAACTTGGAAGGGGAAAAGCTACGGCACTAAATGTACGCATCAACTGTAGATACATCCCTTATTACAGACACTGAAAAATGAAATAAAAATTTGAGGGAATCCTGCGTAATGCTCCATTTCATTCTCACATCAATCTTTGTGGTATAACCCCCAGTTTTTAAAATGAAGACTGAATTCTAAAGAAATTAAGTTACATGTCCAAGGTCACACAACGCTCTCAAGTGACTGAGCCTGACTTCCGAATGTTGCTACACTACTTTTCCAGAAACCTCAACTTCAGGCAAGAGACAGATAGATTAGTATTTAAGGAGGAGATATGATCCCAGTTGTCGTATGCATGACCAAAACCATTGTCAAAGAGTACTGTTTTCCCTGTGTTTGTGCAAAGAAGTTGGTATTCAGACTTAACTGCCTCTTACTACTGCGGGTACTTCAGACCAGAAAAGGCAGCGATGCTGGCCTCGGTCTGATTTCTCACTCCTCTTGGAATGATATTGTGTGATCCTAAGGAAATGCACTGATACCAAAATATGTCAGTAAATGTCTTCTAAGCACGACACAGTTTGTTTTAATAAGCTAAAAAGAGCCGGACGGAAGAAATATACCTCACCGTTAAGACCAGGAGGCTCTGGCAATACTGTGTTTTAAGCCTCTCAAGTTTCAACAGAGCAGCACTTTTTTTAACAATGCTGTTCTCAAAAAGGCTTAGTTATCACTAACCAGAACTGCAGGGAGCACAAAGGCAGACTGCTGACGAGGGAAGTCAAAAGATCTTGGATTCTAGTTCTGGCTCTGCCGAGGACTGGTTCTTGCAATGCTGGCTAAGATTCAACTTCCCTGGGACTATC